GGATTTGGACTGTAACTAAGGGAGCAAAGAGTCATTGGAGGTCTTGAAGCCAAGGAGAGAGAAAAATGAATTTTTCTCTTTGGAAAACAATTCTGGAGGTGTAACAGAAGCTGGAATGGGGAGTGGGGAAGGCAGGAGGTACAGAAACCTGTCAGAGAGGTGGCAGGGGCAGGGGTGACAGGAAGTGGAGGGGGTGTGGGAATGAGAAACGTAATTTGAGATTTCTGTTGGGAAATAGCAGGAACTGGTCTGGATTTAAAAAGTATTAAAAAACAAACGAACGAAAAACAAAAACCAGCAGCCAGAAAAAGGATAAAGGAAACCAGTACATTAGAAGAGAAACGTGAAGATATTTTTAAAAAGGCTTTTATAATGAGACAGATTTAAAGTGTTACGTAAAACAAGTTTTACAGAATGATGAGGACCAATGTGGTATAAAAGTTTTTTTAAGTTTAGGCCGGAGGTGGAGCAAGATGGCCAAATAGAAGCCGCCACTAATCACCCTCCTCACATTCATCTGGGAGATAATCAGGGAAAAGAACAAGAGTCTCTGCTTGGTAATTCAGATAATTCTTCCAGATGTGATCTAAGACCATCAAGGTGGTACGTCTACGAATCTGCAAGGACCACAGCATTGCTGGGCTTGGGATGCCCCCTAATGCAGATACAGCTGCAGTGACCAAAAACTTATATCACAACACCCAAGTCCTTTGAATACCTGGAAAGCCTTCCCAAGAAGGATGAGTACAAACAAACCCAGACTGCAAAGACTACAATAAATACCTAACTCTTCAATGGCCAGATAAATACCTAACTCTTCAATGGCCAGACACCTACAAACGTCCACTAGCATCAAGACCGACCAGGAAAATAGGACCTCACCAAATGAACTAAATAAGGCACCAGGGGCCAGTCTTGGAGAAACAGAGATATGTGATCTTTCAGACGGAGAATTCAAAATAGCAGTTTTGAGGAAACTCAAAGAAATTCAAGATAGCACAGAGAAGGAATTCAGAATCCTATCAGGATAACAAACAAATTGAACTAATTAAAAACAGTCAAGCAGAAATTCTGGAGCTGAAAGATGCAATTGACATACTGAAGAATGCATCAGAATCTCCTAATAGTAGCATTAATTGAGTAGAAGAATGATATAGTAAGTTTTAAGAGGCTATTTGAAAATACAAAGTGAGAGCTGGGAGGATGGCTTGAGCCTGGGAGGCAGAGGTTGCAATGAGGCAAGATTGCACCACTGCACTCCAGCCTGGATGACAGAGCCAGATCCTGTCTCAAAAAAAGAAAGCAAGAAAAGCAAGCAAGCAAGAACAGTCAGAGGAGACAAAAGAAAGAATGAAGCATGCTTATGAGATCTGGAAAATAGCTTCATTGGGGCAAATCTAAGAGTTACTGGCTTTAAAGAGGAGGTAGAGAGAGAGACAGCCGTAGAAAGTTTATTTAAAGGGATAATAACAGAGAACTTCCCAAACCTAGAGAAAAATATAAATATTCAAGTACAGGAAAGTTATAGAACACCAAGCAGATTTAACCCAAAGACATCTACCTCAAGACATTTAATATCAAACTCTCAAAAGTCAAGAATAAAGAAAGGATCCTAAAAGTAGCAAGATAAACAACATAAAATAGAGCTCCAGTACATCTGGCAGCAGACTTTTTGGTGAAAACTTTACAGGCCAGGAGAGAGTGGCATGACATACTTAAAGCGTTGAAGGGAAAAAACTTAAATAGCATATATGGCAAAAATATCCTTCAGGCTGGGTGAAGTGGCTCATGCCTGTTAATCCCAGCACTTTGGGAGGCCGAGGCAGGCGGATCACTTGAGGTCAGGAGTTCGAGACCAGCCTGGCCAAGACGGTGAAACCCCGTCTTTACTAAAAACACAAAAATTAGCCAGGCATGGTTGCAGGCACCTGTAATCCCAGCTACTCAGGAGGCTGAGGCAGGAGAATGGTGTGAACCTGGGAGGCGGAGCTTGCAGTGAGCCGAGATCATGCCACTGCATTCTAGCCTGGGTGACAGAGCGAGACTCCGTCTCAAAAAAAAAAAAAAAAAAAAAAAAAGACACGAAGGAGAAATAAAGATGTACCCAGACAAACAAAAGCTGTTGGATTTCATCAATACGAGACCTATCGTACAAGAAATACTAAAGGGATTTCTTCAGTCTGAAATAAAAGGATGTTAATGAGCAATAAGAAATCATCTGCAGGTGAAAAGTTCACTGGTAATAGTAAGTGCAGAGAAAAACACAGACTGTTAAAACACTATAATTGCAATGTGTGTACTTCTCATATCTTAAGTACAAAGATGAAAAGACAAATCAAAAATAATAACTTTTCAAGACATAGACAGTACAGCAAGACATAGACAGTACAGCAAGATGTAAATAGAAACAACAGAAAGTTAAAAAGTGGGGAGATGAAGTTAAAGTATAGAGTCTTTTTTAGTTTTCTTTTTGCTTGTTTTTTAGTATGTTTGTTTATATCATCAGTGTTAATTTGTCATCAGTTTAAAATGATGTGTTATAAAATATTATTTGCAAACCTCATGGCAACCTCAAGTCTAAAAACATACAATGGATATGAAAAAGTAAAAAGCATGAAAATAAAACATAACACCAGAGAAAAACACCTTTACTAAAAGGAAGGCAGGAAGGAAGGAAAGAAGGAAGAGAAGACCAGAAAACAGCCAGAAAACAAATAACAAAATGGCGGGAGTAAGTCCTTACTTAATCAATAATAACATTGAATGTAAATGGACTAAACTCTCCAATCAAAAGAAAAAGAGAGAATGAATAGATTTTTTTTAAGACCCAAGGATCTATTGCCTACAAGAAACACACTTCATTTATAAAAACACATATAGACTGAAAATAAAGGGATGGCGAAAGATATTTCATGCCAATGGAAACCAAAAAGGAGCAGAAGTAGCTATGTTTATATCAGATAAATCGATTTCAAGAAAAAAATTTAAAAAGGGACAAAGAAGGTTATTGTATAATGTTAAGGGGTCAATTCAGCAAAAGGATAGAGCAGTTATATATGCATCCAACACTGGTGCACTCAGATGTTTAAAGCAAATATCATCAGAGTGAGAGATGGAGATAGACCCCAGTACAACGATAGCTGGAGACCTCAGCACCCCACTTTCAGCATTGGACAGATCATCCAGACAGAAAATCAACAAAGAAACATCAGACTTGATCTGTACCATAGACGAAATGGACCTAATAGATACAGAACATTTCATTCCGTAGTTACAGAATACACATTCTTCTGCTCAGCACATGAATCATTCTCAAGGATAGACCATATGCTAGGTTGCAAAACAAGTCTTAAAACATTCCAAGAAACTGAAAAATAATATCAAGTGTCTTCTCTGACTACAACGGAATAAAACTAGAAATGAATAACGAGGAATTTTGGAAACTGTACAAACACATGGAAACTGAACAATATGCCTCTGAATGACCAGTGGGTCAATGAAGAGATTAAGAAAGAAAGTGAAAAATTTCTTGAAACAAATGATAATAGAAACACAACATGCCAAAACCTATGAAATACAGCAAAACAGTACTAAGAGAAGTTTATGGCTATAAATGCCTACATTGAAAAAGAAGAAAAAGTTCAAATAAACCACCTAATGATGCGTCTTAGAACTAGAAAAGCAACAGCAAACCAAACCCAAAGTTAGTAGAAGAAAATAAATAATAAAAATTAGAGCAGAAATACATGAAATTGAAACAAAACAATACAAAAGATCAATGAAATGAAAAGTTTTTTTTTGGTATTTTGGAAAGATAAACAAAACTGGCAAACTTTTAGCCAGACTAAGAACGAAAAGAGAGAAGGCCCAAACAAATAAAATCAGAGATGAAAACGGAGATATTACAATCGATGCTGCAGAAATTCAAAGGATCGTTAGTGGCTACTGTGAACAACTATATATTGATAAATTGGAAAAACCTAGAAGAAATGGATAAGTTTCTAGACATATACAGCCTACTAAGATAGAATCATGAAGAAATCCAAAACCCAAGTAGACCAATAACAAATAACGAGATCAAAGCCATAATAAAAAGTCTCTCAGCAAAGAAAAGTCAAGGATGCAATGGCTTCACTGCTAAGTTCTACCATTTAAAGAAGATGTAATACCAACCCTACTCAAACTATTCTGAAAAATAGAGGAGGAGGGGATACTTCCAAACTCATTTTATGAGGCCAGAATTACCCTGATACCAAAAACCAGACAGACACATCAGTAAAAGAAACTACAGGCTAGTATCCCTGATGAACACTGATGCAAAAATTCTCAACAAAATGCTAACAAACCAAAGTCAGCAGTACATTTAAAAAAAATTATTTATCATTACCAAGTGGAATTTATCCCAGGGATACAAGAATGGTTCAACATACAGAAACCAATCAGTGTGATACATCATAGCAACTAAATGAAGGGAAAACACCATATGATCATTTCAGTTGATGCTGAAAAAGCATTCGATAAAATTCAACATCCCTTAATGATAAAAATCCTCAAAAAACTGAGTATAGAGGGAACATACCTCAATATAATAAAAGCCATATGCAACAGACCCACAGCGAATATCCTACTGAATGGGGAAAAACTGAAAGCCGTTCCTGTAAGATCTGAAATAACAAGGATGCCCACTGTGTTGAATAGCGACATAGTACTGGAAATCCTAGCTAGAGCAGTCAGACAAGAGAACAACATAAAGGGTATCCAAATGGGAAAGGAAGAAGTCAAATTGTCCTTGTTTGCAGATGATATGACCTTATATTTGGAAAAAACTAAAGACTCCACCAAAAAACTATTAGAACTAATCAATACATTTAGTAAAGTTGCAGGATAGAAATTCAACATATAAAAATCATTAGCATTTCTTTTTTTTTTTTCTTCTCATTCATGAGATATTTATTAAAATAACACATTTAGGGAAAAAAATCAATACAATGTATACATCATTACTGAAAACTGTATACCATCATACAAAAAAGGATTTTATTTTGGGAAATGGTTTTCTAATTTATGGCAAGTTTTACTTTCAGAAATAAAACCACAACAACACAATCTAATTCAATCTTAAAGGCTGGCATGCTGAGCAAGGAATGTTCTTATTCTTTGTAGGAGCTCCGTCTTTACACTGTCAGGTACCAGGGCTCTGCCTTTTGGAGTGATTTCAGCCACCAAGTCATCAACAGTAACGTGTTCTAGTCCTTTTTCTTTAATCACCTCTTTACAGTGTGCCTTCAGCCACTGATCCTTCCAGCCACATTCAATTAATTTAGCTCTCAGCAACTCTTTGAGGTGTTCTCTTTCTCCAGTTTCTATCAACTTTTGGTTAATCCCTGCTCTCATCTGCGCATCTTTGTTCATCTTGCTAACCACACTCTTTGGCTGCCCGGACTTAGACCCTCAGTCATCATTAGCATTTCTATATGCCAACAGCGAACAATCTGAAAAAGAAATCAAGGAAGTAATTCCATTTATAATTGCTACAAGTAAAATAAAATACCTAGGAATTAACCAAACAAGTGAAAGCTCTCTAGGATGAAAACAATAAAACACTGATGGAAGAAACTGAAGAGGACACCAAGAAATGGAAAGATATGCCATATTCATGGATTGGAAGAACTGATATTATTAAACTGTCCATACTACCCAAAGCAATCTACAGATTCAATGCAATCCCAATCAAAATACCAATGACATTCTTCACAGAAATAGGAAAAAATCCTGAAATTTATATGGAACCACAAAAGACCCAGAATAGCCAAAGCTATCTTGAGCAGAAAGAACAAAACTGGTGACATTACATGACTTCAAATTGTACTACAGAGTTATAGTAACCAAAACAGCATGGTTCTGGCATAAAAACAGACATGCAGACCAATGCAACAGAATAGAGAACCCAGGAACAAATCCGTACATCTACAATGAACTCATATCTGACGACGGTTCCAAGAACATACACTGGGGAAAAGACAATCTCTTTAATAAATGGAGCTGGGGAAACTGGATAACCTTACGCAGAGGAATGCATCTAGACCTCTCTCTCTTGCCATATAAAAAAATCAAATCAAAGTGGATTAAAGACTTAGATCTAAGACCTCAAATTATGAAACTACCAAAAGAAAACATTGGGGGAAACTCTCCAGGACATCGGACTTGGCAAAGATTTCTTGCGTAATACACCACAGGCATAGGCAATCAAAGTAAAAATGGACAAATGGGATCACATCCAGTTGAGAAGCTTCTGCACAGTGAAGGAAACAACCAGCAAAGTGAAGAGAGAGCCCAGAGAATGGGAGAAAATACTTGCAAACTGTCTATCTGACAAGGGATTAATAACCAGAATATATAAGGGGCTCAAACAACCCTGTAGGAAAAACATTTAATTAATTTAATCTAATTAAAAATTGAGCAATATATCTGAATAGATGTTTCTCCAGAGAAGACATACAAATGGCAAACAGATATATGAAAAGGTGCTCAGCATCACTGATCATCAGAAAAATGCAAATCAAACCTACGATGAGATATCATCTCACTCTGGATAAAGTGGTTTTTATCCAAAAGACAGGCAATAAAAAAATGCTGGGCCGGGCGCGGTGGCTCAAGCCTGTAATCCCAGCACTTTGGGAGGCGGAGACGGGTGGATCACGAGGTCAGGAGATCGAGACCATCCTGACTAACACGGTGAAACCCCGTCTCTACTAAATATTACAAAAAACTAGCCGGGCGAGGTGGCGGGTGCCTGTAGTCCCAGCTACTCGGGAGGCTGAGGCAGGAGAATGGCGTGAACCCGAGAGGCGGAGCTTGCAGTGAGCCGAGATCTGGCCACTGCACTCCAGCCTGGGCGACAGAGCAAGACTCCGTCTCAAAAAAAAAAAAAAAAAAAAAAAAAAAAAAAAAAAAAAAAAAATGCTGGGTGAGGATGTAGAGAAAAGGGAATCTTCATATACTGTTGGTGGGAATGTAAGTTAGTACAATCACTGTGGAGAATAGGTTGGCGATTCCTCAAAAAACTGAAAATGGGCGACCATATGATCCAGGAATCCCACTGCTAGATCTATACCCAAAAGGAAGGGAGGAAGTATATTGAAGAGATATCTGCACCCCCATGTTTATTGCATCTCTGTTCACAATAGCTGGGATTTGGGAGCAGCCTAAGGTTCCATCAGCTGATGAATGGAAAAAGAAAACAGTACATGTACACAGTGGAGTACTATTCAGCCATAAATAAGAATGAGATCCTGTCATTTGCAACAACAGTGGTGGAACCAGAGGCCATTTTGTTAAGTGACATAAGCCAGGCACAGAAAGACAAACTTGGTGTATTCTTATTTGTGGGAGGTAAAAATTAAAACAGTTAAACTCATGGAGATAAGAGATTAGAATGATGGTTATCAGAGGCTGCGAAGAGTAGTGGAGTGAGTTGAGGGAGGAGGAGATGGTTAATGGATACAAAAAATATTTGAAAAGAATGAGTAAGATCTAGTATTTGCTAGCACAATAGGATGACTACAGTAAAAAATAGTTTATACATTTTCAAATAACTAAAATAATTGGATTGTTTATAACACAAAGGATAAATGCTTGAGGTGATGGATACCTCACTTACCTTGATGTGATTATTATGTGTTGTATGCTTGTATGAAAATATCTCACATACTCCATAAATATATACACATACTCTGTATCCACAAAAATTAAAAATAAAAAAATTGTAACAAAGTTTTTCTAAGTTTATAGTGTTTTAGAAATTAAAAGAGACCCAGGAATAAAAGGAAAGGTGAACTAAGAAAGATGTAGGTTAAAAAGAAATGTAAGAGAAATAAGCTATGTATAAGAGATACAGGCCAGGCGCCATGGCTCATGTCTGTTATCCCAGCACTTTGGGAGGCTGAGATGGGTGGATCATCTGAGGTCAGGAGTTTGAGACCAGCCTGGTCAACATGGTGAAACCCTGTCTCTACTAAAAGCACAAAAATTAGCCGGGCGTGGTGGTGGGCGCCTGTAATCCCAGCTACTTGGGAGGCTGAGGCAGGAGAATCACTTGAACCTGGGAAACAGGTTGCAGTGAGCCAAGATTGTGCCACTGCACTCCAGCCTGGAGAAAAAGGAAAAAACCACTCCCCCCCCAAAAAAAAAAAAAAAAAAAAAAGATACATATCTAAGACACAAGGGAAATAGGCGGGGCGTGGTGACTCACGCCTGTAATCCCAGCCCTTTGGGAGACCGAGGCGGGTGCATTGTGAGGTCAGGAGATCGAGACCATCCTGGCTAACACGGTGAAACGCTGTCTCTACTGAAAATACAAAACATTAGCCGGGAGTGGTGGCACGCATCTATAGTCTCAGCTACTCGGGAGGCTGAGGCCGGAGAATCACTTGAACTCGGGAGGTGGTTGCAGTGAGCCGAGATTGCACCACTGCACTCCAACCTGGTGACAGAACGAGACTCCATCTCAAAAAAAAATGAGGGGGGTGGGGGGCGGGAATATAGGCCAAAAGCAGAAGCAGCAGTAGGGAAGAGCCGGCAAGCTGGTTTACAGGGCTGCGACAACCAGTGGCTCTGGAAGTGCAGGTAGTGCAGGCAACCCCGTGAGACTGGAAGGGCAGGTGGAGGGAAAGTGCAAAGGTGAGTGATGGAGGGGAGCCCACCTATTGGAGAGCTTCATGGGCACCACTCGTAGCTGTCTGTTCTGCTGGCGGGGCAAGTGACAGTGTAAACAGGGCAGTCAGGGGTTCATGTGACTTTGCCTTTTGCTTCTGGCACCTGTTCAGGTGGGCTCTTGGGAGTTGATGAGGTGGTGATTGAGCAGCTAGGAAGCAGCGTGGCAGGTTTTTCCTGTCACCTACCAGAGAAGATGGTGGCCGGAGGTGGCGCTTGCAGAACTCTTAGGGCCACTGAGGAAGAAGTGGAAGAACACCCAGCCTTCTGGCTTGAGTGCCTCCTGTGTGTCGTAGAATGATCTAGATCCTGTGGGGGCACATGGAGCAACAAGAAAAACTTGCAAGATGTGTGGGACGAGTGCATGGTCATCTGGTGTCACGTGTGAAGCTGGGGCTATGTATGGGCCATAACTTCTCATCTTCTGGATGGTGTTAGACAAGGAAACCCAACTCAGGATCCCGTTAGTACTCTTGTCTGCTCTAATCGCAGGTTGAGCTGATGTCTTCATCCTTTGTTGGTTGCTGTTAAGGAATGAGGTTGCGTTTATGGTGGAAAGAGTGTGGGGCTGAGAATCTGGAGGCCAGGGTCAAGTTCTGACTGTGCATTTATTATCCGTGTGACTTGGTGCAAGTGTAACCTGTCAGTGTCTGCATCCTTTTTTGTCATTTGGAGGCTATAATAGTGATGTCTGCCTCACAGAATCCCTGGGTTGTCATGGGGATCAGTGTGGGTATGTGAGTGCTTCATCAATTGCAAAGCTCTGCCGTAGCTGATGATACCTCTAGACTTCTAAGTGCTTTGGGGAAAGTGTGCCTGGTTATTCCTTATTCTTCTCACAGTGCCTCCAAAGTGTCAGTGATACTCAGGAAATGCTGGTTGAGTGTGAGTTTACTGCAGCACCGAGCAGTTTCCGGGTTCCATTTTCCAGTGGCCAGACCCTCTCCTTGTTCACACTGCTGGATGAGGGAGGTAGAGCTGGAGCATGGGACTGGCCTATGGAACAGATGTAGTGGCCATGAGGAGGTGGTGATGCCTGGAGCAGTGTTAGCCGTGCAGTGTGATGAGGATCACACGCTCTCACGTGGTTTCCAGTCGCTGGGCACAGAGCTACCTTCAGGGTGGCCCAGCTTCAAGTTCAAAAGCAGGAGGCAGAGTAGAGGCTGTTTCCATTTCCCGTCCTCCCACTTCTCTTCCACTGCACAGCCCGTACGTGCATGCCTGTGTGCCGCCCCTCACACAGACTCTCCATCTCCTTAGTGAGGCCACACTTCTGACTCCTGGTTATTTCTCGTTTCCTTAACTCTCTGTTGCTACCCCTAGCCCCATCCCCTGCTGTGGACCCCGGAGAGGCACCGTCTGCCTCTGCCTCTGTGGGCCCAGGTGTGTGCTGGGTGTCGAGCTTGCAGTGAGAACTGGTTTGCTGAGCCCTGTTTTTTTTTTGCATCTGCTGCAGGTCATCTTCCATGACGTTGCTGTGCTGACGGATAAGCTCTTCCCCATCGTGGAGGCCATGCAGAAGCACTTCAGTGCTGGCTCGGGAACCTATTACAGTGACTCCATCTTCTTCCTCTCGGTCGCCATGCATCAGATCATGCCCAAAGGTAACCTGGGCTTCCAGGAGCAACAGCCCCTGGGTGTCTGACTTTTGCATCCATTTCCCTGGTTCCAACACTGCCCAGGCCCTGTATCAGAGAGAAGAGCTCCACTGAACATGGGAGAATGGATGAGGCAGTCA